CTTTCAACCTGGTTTTAGTTACAAAAAGATAGTTTAAAGACTTGGTTATCGAATCGCAAAAAACAGAAGTTTCTATTGCCTTTTATTCTTGAGTTATTCAAAAACCACTGACCGACATATGAAAATCCATCAGAAGGGAACCTATTAGAAGTACTCTCGGTAGAACTCTCACATAGGACCGCGTTAACAGTAGAATTAACTTGTTGTTGTATTACCATTGAATTCCTTGTAAAAGGTTGCATATCAAACTGGTTTTTATTGAAATTTTAATATACTATAGCAGAAATATACTGATTGAATCAAGCCTCTAGAACTCGGTGCCCGCGACCAAGTCCCGGAAGCTATTTTAGCGAAACCCACAAATCGCAGGATGGACTAGGATAGTACACTTTAGCAGTATACTAGGGAGCTTCAGAATTGCCACATTTCCATGGAGAAGATCATTTCTCAAAATCGCCCAAAATGGTCATTTTTGGGCAAGATTGCAACTTTCAAGGCATCTGTATTGAAAACGAAAGCACCGGAGACCGTCAAACTTTTACCAAATATACTTTGGCATATAATCTATTTGGAAATATGATTGAAAGTCTTACGGTCGACTTTGTTTCAAATGGGTGCTACAGCAAAATTCAGGGTTTCCTGGCTTTGGGCACTTAGTACCCCATCTATTACAAAATAACGAAAGCATGTTTTGAGCTCGTGATTGCGTGATTTTGCAGCTGACACTGTCTACTAATTATGATTTAATCATTAAACCTTGGAGGCTCCAAGGTTAAGTAATCTGTTGTTACTGAATTACAAGAGTTTAAAGCTGGCAAATTTTCAAGATGGCGGAATCTGCGTTTTTCGGAGCTTTTCGTAAAATATCAATATCTCAACAGCGATACAACTTTTGAATTTGGGCCTTTTACCAAAATTCATTAAAATGTTTGGTCTACAAGAGACCCCTACTTTGGAAAAATTTTAAGAATATCGATTGAAGGCTACTCCGCTGTAATAGGTAGTGGCTTACGTGCAATGGCTCTTTTGATGGATGCTCGACGTCTCTTCTTCCGAATAGGGAACGCCATAGACCTCTCTTCTATCAAAAATTATTCAGGAAATGGTACAATGAATTGTCTTTTTTCCAAAAACAGGATGACGTTTGAGTTTTAACGAAGATTCTTGAGTATGTAAAGAAAATGCAAACATTTATATATAACTTAGATGGGTTTGATTGCACCACAAAGCGATACTAAAATATCATTTTTTAAAATTTTGATAGAGATGTATGGAGAAATCAAAGCCAATTACTTTTTATGGTTTCTCTGGTTCTATAGACCAATGTTAAAAAGAAAAATATTAAACGACTAATACTAAAAATTAGTTATTTTTAAATTAAATATTTTTTCACCTTATTTAAATATTAGTTCGTTCTATACTTTTCTTTTTAACTTTTTTCGGTATACCCGTTTCTCTATTTCTTTCTCATTTCTTAAAAGTGTAGAAGGGAAGTAAAACAAAAAATGAAGTTTACGAGGAAAACAAAAATATAATAGCCTCAGACTGATCTTTGAAGTAAAAATTTTATTTCCTATAATTTCAGGGAAAACTTGAGAACAGAATAAAATATTTTCTTGCTGAAACACATTTAAAATATGAACGACATGATTACTTTATACTGTTTATACTGTTATGTTAAAGAATAAAATTAAATAAGAAAGGTGTCACCGAAACTTACAGAATTTGAAAATGGCTACTACGACTACTAGTAGTGGTAGTTTTATCGTTAGTACGTTCAACGGTGTCTTATCAATTGCTACAATTATTGGCATTGTAGTGGGTGCCCTAGCTGGTTTAGCTATATTAATTGGAATTATTATTACCCTCATTTGTTTGTGTAAACCAAAACGACAAGTGGGCGGGGTAATTCTACCACCGAGCCAGACAGTATTTCAACCTTATGGACAACCAATGATCATGACGTCGGCAACAGGAGGATATCCATATTCACAACAGTGGCAAACTCAACAATATCAACAAAATATGCATATTCCGCAACAACGATATCAGCAACCGGTTTGAATACTACCCCATTCCGTCATTTTTTTATTGCGCATGTGCTTTGAGGCTGTTAAACCTCAAATCTTTGGTTTTCGAGCACATAGATTGTTATCAGAGCAGAATATTCTTTTAAATAAATTAACAAAATTACCCACAGGAGTTTAATTAAGTAGTACACGATAATTGTAGAGTAAGTATGAAAGTTGGTTTGAAAGTATATAGCAATCCTCACATAGAAGACAATCGATTAGCGTCACTTTTTAAAGTGTAGAAAATGTCGCGTAGACGGTGAATATTCTATATGAATTTATGAGTGTTAAACCGAACGGGAGCTTGAACTTTTGGTGCAACGGCGTCAGGTATCATAATTTAAGATATAATAAAACTGATTATATACGATAGTAGGATCGGTAAAACGAAGAGGTGAGGGAGAGATGAGTTACCGGTTCCGAGCTAATTACTAAACTCGTTCTGCGCTCTCTCCTTTAGTTACATGCATGCTAATTATAGCAAACGTTCTCTTTTCTCTATTGTATTTTTTTCCATTCTCTTTTAGTTGCAAATTTTAGTTTACGTATCGAATCCTTCTCCATTTTATGCAAATTCCATATGTGTCAAATAATATGTCCTTATAGTATCTAAGAGTACGTTAATAGAAATGAAAAAAGTTAAGTAAGTTCTAGTTTAGAAGTATACAGTGTAATATAACAATTGATTAGATATCTTTGGTTATTTCTCAGAATGTAACTATATTGTTAAAAAAAGAGCAAAGTCGAAGTCAGTAAATGTTACATTATAACGGCATGACTCCATCAGGTACAATCATGCAATAAACTAACAGTTCAATTAATAATATTCAATCCAACTTTCACCTGTCGAAGAAGAAGCAGAAGAATATACTCATATCTAAATCAGGGGGGAATGACGTGCCGACACTGATGCCTCAAATATTCTTTGCAACAAATTGTGTAAAAAGTGGGCAATCTGTGTGGAAGTATCAATAAGTATTATTTGTAAGACAGTCTAACGATTCGAAATCTCCTCGGAGGCTTCTTCCACATATTTCACATAACGGCTTGGCCAAACGTAACGGCGTGACATATTTTACACAGTAATTCTCAAATTTCTCAAGAACTATGCGTGCCAGAAAAGTCGCTCTAGTCTTATTGTATATGTCTCACAATCCCCTGCTTACAGTAAGAAAAAGAAATGATTTGGTTGCCAAAAGGCGGCCGGGCACTAAATTTTTGGAGCGTAATACCGTAACAAAATACGTCCCTTCTTTTTTATTTTTGAAAAGTCGATATGAATACGAAGTTAGATAAGATTTTTGTTTTGTTTTTTTAGTATTCTAAATAAGTACGTTTTCTTCGTACTAACTTTATTTATTACAAGCGTTTCGATTGATTACATTAGTTCAACATTCGGAGAGTAGTTCAGAATGCTTAATTAATTTTGAACATAGTGTTACTTTTGATAAAGAAAAATATTGGCAGATGAGGAAAAGATTAGAAGCAGTGTACACAATAGCGAATAATGGATACACTAGATGTAAGAGCAAAAGTGCGACAATGGAAATCAACTATTAAGCGATGAATAGAACCGATAAGCGGGAAACAATTTTAGATAACTAATACCGAAGTAAAAGAACAGGTTCGCAATAAGGATAAAGTAGAGAAGCCGATTGAGATGAGAACAAAAAACTCAAGATCCAGTTTTAAGAAAACAACTGAAAATAAAGTACAAACGACAAAGCAGAAGTTTCAAACGTTGACTTTTCAAAGGGTTGTTCATCGGTCCTTTTATTAACATTATTTTATTGTATACGTATTTTAAGTTTTAACATTAATTGCCTGCATGATCAAGGGAGAAAACAGGAAAAAAAGTGGTATATTGGCATATTATAAATTCTCCTCACTTGGTCTGGTTTTGTTTTTTTGCTTTTCTTTCTTAGATCAGTCCTTTTTAAATTATGTAATCTGATACTAAGTAAGAATTATATAGGCAGGGGAAAAGTGAAAAGAATTAATAGGATATAAATGTAGTGAATTTATGTTAAAGATGCTTGTCAGGGTACAGGTTTTTGTTATCGACTGTATATATTATAAATTTAAAATACAAAAGGCGAAAAATATCCCTATATTAAAAGTTTTCTGTTCAATTGTTTTGTTCGTGTAACTTTAATTACATTAATTAATGTTTGTATCCACTGAAGAGGACTGAATTATTAATCGAAATGTTTGGGATAAATAAAGTTAGTACGAAGAAAAAGTGCTTATTTAGAATATTCAAAAAAAACAAAAAAAAAACAACTTTTTTAGTCAGGCAAATATTTGTGATTACTAGGAATTGGAAAAAAATCGTTCAAGGCTCATTGTAGCTAACTGTTCGATCTATGCAACAGTAAAAAAGTTTTTTTCTAGAAGTTTCTGGCAAGAAAAAAAAATAACGGTGTGACACATTTTTT